AGGGAAGGTGTGATGCGTAGGGGAAGAACAAAAAGGGAAAAGAAAAAAATGTGAGAGAATGAAAAGATGAAAGTAAAGTGTTTGTAGATGGGGAGGAGAGGAGGGGGTGAAGGGAGGGCAGAGGTAAGGGGAAAAATGAGAATCAAGACTTGCCATGTAAAGGTACATGATCCCAACAATGAATGTAACTGTACTGTATCCCTAAAATGTACCAATAAACTCAATAAAATTAAAAAAAATTCAGCTTAAATGTAGATTTATTTCCTACTTAATTGTTGGTAAATCAGTCTTCAAATGCGTGCTATATGACCTTCATTTAATTTTAAATAGAACTAGAGACCTGAGCACTTAATGTTTCTATGTAAAAATTAGTTTTATGTAGAATTGTACATTGAATTTTAATTTCTTAGGAAAATCACAGCAGCATTAAATAAATAATTGAACTCCTTTTACATCTTGGATATCACACTCCTTTATATTATCTAAATATTAGTGTAGAAAGATTGCTATCTTGTATTTATTATGCTATTTTTTCTTACTTTTCTGTGCCTTTCCTTTCTTTTTCCTACTTATCAGTTTAAGCAGCTCCTCAGGAAATGTGGAAGGCTCTTTGGATGGTTTTCGAAACTTGTCTACCTTCTCTCCTCCTGCTAGATACAGTGCTGCAGTTCTGAGCAGTGCGGCTGCTGCAGTGTCTGCCATCATTTCTGCAAGAACCAGGTGAACTGATTACGTGTGCAGTGTCCATCTGACGTGACCCCAGTACTCTCACTGTACAACAGTCATTTCAGTGAAAATGTTGAAACACTGCCCTGTGACCTCGTCGGTGTGTAGTAGCTCCATTCTCCAAGCTGTGGGTTGACCCTACAGTATTTGTTACTGTTGTTTTAAAAAATCATCCTTTGACGTCTTCCATTGATAGCATTTATGTGCATTTCTTGCTTGTGTGGATTATTGCATGTCGTATAGTTACTGACTTTAGGAATGTTATAATTTTCAGGTTTTTGAAACAATCAAGTACAAATTAAGTTTCTGTTGATAATCTTCTCCTGGCTACTTTTTGAAATACCCCTTCCTCCCACTAAAAAACAGAAATTGTTTTATAGGATTTTGTTTTGTTTTTATATAATTTTTGTAGTTTTAAATGCTTGCTAGAAGATTACTTTGCCCACTTTTGGTGAAAATCAAGTCCATTTTGTATATGAGTAGAATAATAGACTCACCGTCCTTTTTCCCCTCTTACTGCTTCATGCTTCTCTCACTCTCAAAATGTTTCAGATCATAGACTTCAAACCACTTTCTACTACTTGTAGTATGCATTTTTTTTAACTTAAACTCTTTCTAAATGCTTACAAGGCTCTCCGGTCCTGAAATGTATTGCTCTCTCCTTGGTGCTCTGTGTCTAAGACTGTAGCTTTCTCTTATCTCCAGCCCCCCCAGAAATCAGCTGGCTTTGTAGCCCTGAGAAAGCAAGGTATTGGGGAAATGGACACAGCAGGTGGTGGGGTGCTGTAAGGATGCTGCCTTCTCTAATGCTCATTGCCATGGTAACATGCCAGGGAGAAATCTTAGAGCTGATTGTTACCTGGTTTCTAGTTAACTAGAATTTCAGTGCAATGTTCATGCATAGGCCTGCTATTTTGTGAGTTTTTTTAAACTGTTAACTCACCTTTGAATTCTTTGTGACTTTTTTCATTGGCACACTTGATGTTTGTTATGAATAGTTGTGCCAGTATTTGTAGTAGAATTCTGCTTTATATCATGGACATAACCTTAGTAGGACATATATTTTGAAAAAATGAAAAAGAATAAGAATGTATTTTGTTTGACTACTGTCATAACAGTTCTTAAACATGAGGGCTTTGCTTGAAAAATCAACTAATTTTTTACCATTTCTGGGAAATGTTTGTGTTGGTAAGCTTTCCATCATTGTGACGAAAGACCTGAAGTAAGCAACATATAGGAAGGAAAAGATTGTTTTGTCTCAGAGGTTTCAGTCTGTAGTCAGAGGTCTGTGGCGAGACTGCACAGGGAGGGGAGTATGTGGTGCAACAGTGCTATTCATATTAGGAGCCCTGAGGGAGACGGGGCTGTGGCCCAGTACCCTCAAGGGTGTGCCTGCCCTGCAGCCTAACTTTTTGCACTACTCCTTTCCTCCTACCCTTCCCATCTAGTGATTAGGCCAGAATTATTAGCTATAATGTAAAAAATACAAATACCCCATGTTTTCTAAGTGTGTCATCTCAGCTGTATAAAATTGTTTTTTTTACTTTTAAAAAAATTCTGTATGAAATCTTTTTTTTTCTTTTTTTTTTTTTTTGAGGCAGG